GCACACTGACACAATATTTAACGTGGTTCGGCAAAACCGTCTACATCCATGGGAGAAGTCAATATATTTAGAGATAGAGAAAGAATACAAAACAAATACATGGAGGAGGAGGATTACACCCTCTCATACTCAACTCTCAACTCTCTTTGCTGCACTTGCAGCTGCTGCAATGGCAGCAAGGCTGCTGCCATTGCAGCTCTCTCTTCCTCTTTACTCTCTTCACCTTTTCATAATTTTCTTCACTCATTTTGCTCTCTTGCATATGCCTCTATTTATAGGCATTCATGGAGGCTTTTCTTCAACAAAGGTGGCTGCCAACTCCAACTCTTCTTCAACAATGGTGGCTGCCAACCTTTGACATCTTGGATGAGTGCACATGGTTGGTGCAATAGCAAATGGTTGTTGCACATTAATGGCAACCAACCTAACAATCACCCCCTTTGCCATTCATGTGGAGCAACTGTCCTCATTCTTCTTCAACACAAGCTTGCATCTTGCAACTCTTCAAAGCTTTCCATTTTGAGAGCTTTTGTAGCCAAGTTTACAGGTACTTGCCAAACCTTTCAATCATCAGAGTGACCTAAGCACACCTTTTCTCACACAAAAGGATCACTATAACCAGATGGTCTGCCACATCACATCTGAATAGTGTTAACGCTTGTCTCTGGAACAACATTCCCCTTCGAGCGTATCAACCATGCTCAGTCCGGAATGATTCCTCAAGCCTCACATCAAGGCTTACAACACCCCCTCAAACGGATATTTCAAGTGCGACAGTCATTATCTGAGTATCTCAATATGATCACAAGCTCATCACTCTTCCAAGAGTCTACTCATCCAAGAGTTGCGCCTGCCCTCTGTTCCACCCTAGAAACCACGCCTTACTTTTCCATGAGTCTCTCGCTCTTAGTCTCAAGAGTCCAGGTAGCTTTCCACCTTTAACCATGGGGGCAGCCCATAAAAGGTTGATCCATATCTGTCTTCATACTCTGAGTATTACAATGTCATTACCGAGCTCACCACCTTGACAAGAGTCAACTTGTTCCCGGAACCTGCGCATGCCCTCTGCTCCTTCATAGCAGCCACGTCTTAATGCTCCACAAGTCATCCACTTATTGTCCAAGGCAAATGTCTTCTAGCTCATTGATCTTTAGCATGGGGGCAATATCCATGAAAGTCAATCCTGCATTTGTCTCCATACTCATCATAGCCCTTTTATTGGCTATCCATCTGTCCACTCATACCTAGCCATCACATTGGCTCTAGGGCGTTCTGAACTGGGCTCCTTCCACGGCCCTCACACCTTCTCCTGAGGTGTCTCCGCTCGTCGTCATGCGGCAGTCTAATCATGGGCTCATCTCATAGCCCTCACACCTTCTCTTTAAGGTGTCTTCGCCTTTTATAGGCAGTCGCATCCTCCTTCAGCTAAGATGCTTCAAAGTGGCTCCATAAATTCTTTGCCACTAATTACATAGAAAGAGAAAGTTGCGGTATACTCCTCGCAATCCTCCACCTCAATTTCTATGTTTGGAGCTTCTACGCCTTTTCTGCTTAACAGCTCCACCCGCACCAATTTCCTTTGGTGTCTTCGCCTTTCATCATAGGCGGTCGCCTTTTATCACAGGCGTTTGCACCCCCTCAATTAGGTGCATCCGCAACAGCTCATCCTTCCATCCTTGCATGCATTGAAAGGTCCTCGCTTGTTGCCTTTATCAAGAGCACAAGAGACTTTTTGTTGTACAACTTTTTCATAGTCTCTGCTCTGAGCTTCATCTGGGAACTCTTCTTCTCCTTGCACATGTTGTCTCATTATAGTACCTCGTTGGATCCTCCGGGTACTCTTACACAATCTTCATGTGCTCTCGTGCAATTTTGGTTCTCCAGATTTCTCCCTATTCCTTGCTTATGTTTGACAGCAGCTCATCCTGTCACAACATCTATCCAAGTTTAAATAGGGTGCCAATCTTTATCCCTTTGCTGTATTTCTCTTCCATTATCAGGGTCTTCATCAATTCTCCCCTCAAGAAATTATAGTCACCGAATCTAACTTCCTTGGAGAAATCACCACTCCATCAAATCCTTGATCATACGGAACCCAACTGTTCCTTTGTGCCGTCATCCTGCTAGTCTTCAACAGTTTCATAACAAACTGTCACATATACGAAAATAGTACCGTATGGATAATCCTTCTACTAAGCAAGTTCCCAGGAAAGATTGGAGGGGTCACAACGGTCCCGCTTAAAACCCAATCTCCTAGCCAGAACTTCTTAGGCCATATCTATCCATCGTACTGTCTTTTCGTATATACAACCATTTGCTAGCTTTGTTGTGGCTTTCCTTTACAAGTGATCTGGGGTATCCTGGTTTTATACCTGATTTCTCAACATCTGGCGAGACTACCAGTGCTTAGACTCATCAAGATTGGTCTTCATCAAATTTCACTCTCCACCTCAAATTGTCCAATTGATCGGGTGTCCAGAGTGTCCCAATTTTAACTTCCCTCAAGGCAATTAAAATTCCCCACATAATAGTTCAACATATGTAATTGGGCAAACATGTGTGATTTCTTCTTCTTCAGCTCCATCGACCACCATGATGACCATCATATGCCTCTTGATCGGGCAATCTCTCTTTAATAATTCATCACTGCCATTTCGGACCTCAATCTCAATGATCGGACCGTACCATTGCATCCAGAACGATCAAATTAGCTGGAAACAAGTCTGAAATCGTCCAAATCGCACTTCAGACGGCTAAGATTTGATCAAAACAATTTTGGCCTGATAAACGGCCCAGATTCAATCTCAGAACCGGTTGCACGTAGACTCCGCCACACAGGATCACAATCCAGGGAGCTGACGTGGCTGTAATGACGTGTCATCCACGTAGGACATGTAGGTCAACCAAATCTGACGTGGCAGTTTGACTGGTCAAAGTGCTGATGTGCCAGGTGACGTGCCTGATGACTGTGCAGAACTGCTGACGTGCCTAATGACGTGGCAGTTTGACTGGTCAGAGTGCTGATATGTTAGGTGACGTGTCTGATGACTGTGCAGAACTGCTGACGTGGCTGATAACGTGGACAGTCACCCCGCCGACGCGTGCGACGGTTTCCGACGTCCGATTTCGACGCGGTTTTCACCAGTGGCTTCGTCTCTTCCTCCTCTACACAGTGGTATGGTCAAAACACAATTTTGACAACTTTTATTTTGAGCAAAATCAAACACCACTTTAAACCGAACGCTCTGATACCAATTGTTGGGAATTCCGACCGGTGATGTTCTGATACTTGCTCATAGGAGAGCCAAGCACACTGACACAATATTTAACGTGGTTCGGCAAAACTGCCTACATCCACGGGAGAAGTTAACGTGGTTCGGCAAAACCGTCTACATCCATGGGAGAAGTCAATATATTTAGAGATAGAGAAAGAATACAAAACAAATACATGGAGGAGGAGGATTACACCCTCTCATACTCAACTCTCAACTCTCTTTGCTGCACTTGCAGCTGCTGCAATGGCAGCAAGGCTGCTGCCATTGCAGCTCTCTCTTCCTCTCTACTCTCTTCACATTTTCATAATTCTCTTCACTCATTTTGCTCTCTTGCATATGCCTCTATTTATAGGCATTCATGGAGGCTTTTCTTCAACAAAGGTGGCTGCCAACTCCAACTCTTCTTCAACAATGGTGGCTGCCAACCTTTGACATCTTGGATGAGTGCACATGGTTGGTGCAATAGCAAATGGTTGTTGCACATTAATGGCAACCAACCTAACAAGATGGCACTTCGGCATCTTTTTGTTTTGTTTTAATGGGAAAAAGATGAATAATGAAATAATAGTATTTCTTAGTTTGGTTCCTAAACCTTTGGAGCTTTCTAATGGAACCCTTAGCCTACTTCGATTAGACACTCGAATTTCTACTCTTTTTACATGCTAATCAAATTCTTTAATTTAACTTTTAATTTACCTCCAAACTTTTAATTTCTTAAAATTTTAATTTTAATTTTAATTTTATCCATTTAACTTTGTAAAAATTATATTTAGTTCTTTATAATTTTAATATTCTTAATTAAACCCAAACTCAACTTATAAACTTATTTTTTAATTAATTAAACCCTTAATAAAATTTATTTGACTCATTGAGTTATTATATTTAATTAATTCTTTTAATCTAACCAAAATTAATTTTTAAATTTCATTAAACCTTTAATTGGATCCATAATTAAATTAAATTGACATATTAAAAATCTAATTATATCCTCGAATTTAATTAATTTTTATGAAAATTCATTCTATTATTATTGTTTAATTTCACCTTAAACCTACATTATCTTCTAATATTAGATATAATTTTGTTCAAAATTCCATCTTAATTTCTTCATGTATTTGAAAAAAATTTTAACTTGTTCTTGCTAAGTTGTAGTCTTTTTTCATCTCAATATTTTTTTATTTTTTGGTTGCTTTTTATTAAAAAAATGATGATAATTTTAGAAGAAATCCAAAATTAGATTATGAGGTAAACGGTCATGTTCTAATTGCCTCTTATGCTCGGCATACTTAGCCAAGCTTGTAAACCAAAGCAAGGCCGCAGATGATGATAATGATGCTTGTAAGATGTGCTAAATGCATACGAATTTCATGACATAGTTTTTCATTATAAAGACACACATTCATTATTGATCAATCTTTAAAAGAGATTTTCGTTATAAAGAAATTCACAGATTCATTATTGATGAAATTCCAAAACATTTTTTCCATGAATAAATGCAACTGATGAAGTGTTTGTATTTGATGCCATTCAAATTGTGAATAGATAATATTGATAAAAATCATGCTAATAGATATGTAAAATTAAATTTAAAACAGTTTATAGAGTTATAGGAGAGGCTAATTCTTTTAAATAACTTTAGCTTCTACAATATTTTAATCACAAATTAGAGATTTTATAGAACTATATCATCCATTATAATTGCAAGTGGGAGAAAGAATAGCTTACCTGGTTTGCTGGAGATCAAGCCGATGGCGATGGTGCACTGGTTGGGCAACGCTTCTTTTTTCCCTGCTGTTTCTGTTTTCGTTTCTCTCCGATCATCCTTCTCTCTGGTTTGTCTGTTTTTTTGTGTTTTTGGCTCTCTCTGTATGGTCTTTCCTCAGTTTTTTTTCTTGGGTTCTCTGTTTTTTTTGTTCTCTCTCTTTTCTTCCTGGTCCCCTTGCTCTGGTCCTTCGCTGGCTTTTTATAGGGCCAAAAAATGTCAAATCTCATCCATATCTTCCTGGGGATGGCGATGAAGATCATTACTATTTTTTCTCCGTGTTTGGGTGGAATGAAAACACCAACAGTCCTGCCATTGTGGGACTGTTGGTGATTAACTTTATCCTAGCGCCAGAGGCGCATCGTAGGGATGAAGGGAACTGAAACACCCGTGCGATTTGTGGTAGACAAAACGGTCTGTTATTTTGGCTTGGATTTGGTGAGATTAGTGAGGGGATTGGGTCTGGCCGATGCCATTTTTGGCAATTTTCTCGCACCAATTTTCCTCTGTTTCAGAGGAAGGGGGAATGAACAGTGGAATTTAAAACGGCGTTGTTTGCTCGGCTGAAATGTCTATCTTCAATTTGCACCCTGAATTTCTGACATTTAGCAATTAGGCCCTTATTCAAGGAAATATTCCTCTCTTTTTTAATTTCGCCCCTGGATCAATTGCAATTCGACCCTGGATTTCAAAATCATTTACACAATAGTTCTTGATTTCAATTTTAACCAATTCAGTCCTTAATTAACTCCTCAACTTTTAATTCTTTCAAAATCCCCTATAGTTTGCATATTCACTTTGCTCCTTGGACTTTAATTTCTTTTAATTTTGACCCAAATTGACCTTGAACTTTAATTGTTTTTTCAATCAAGCCCCTGGTTTAATTAATTAAACTAAATCAAAGTCTAATTAAGCCTCTAAACTTATCAATTCTTCTATTTTTTGATCAAATTGACTTTCAAATTTATAACTTCATCATTATTAGTCCTCAAACTTTTAATTTCTGTGGCCTTGACCTAATTCTTAAATTTATTTTTCATTCACTATTTTTTTATATTTTCTTGGAAATTAAAAAAATGGATTATGATAATAAGGAAAAAAAATTGAGTGAGAAGAAATGAAAAAAAAATTGAAGAGGAGAAAATAAAAGGGGAAAATCTAAAGAGGAAAAAAATTGAAGAGGGAGATGGATTAAGCTTAAAAATTAAAACCGTAAATAGGTTGCCCCCCTCGGTTGAAAGATAGGGCTCTCTTTAGCACAAAAACCCTACCAAAATCTCTCTTTATACACTTTAGATTATGATAATGTTAAAAGTTGTTTTCTTGTTAATATACTTTAGATTTAGACTTTCTATTTATTTTTTTAAGAATATATTTGAAGTTTAAATAATTACTATGACATAAATTTTAACCTTGATTAATTTTATAACATGGATTTTATTTTTAATCATACTTTTTCTTGAAGTATTCTCACTTTATTAGTTAATTTGGTCAAGATAGAATTAATTAAATACATTTATGGATGGATCAACTCACTTGAGGACTGTAAATATAATTAATTTAAGCACATATGTGTAAAGATTGATTTTTATGATAGGTTTATACTTATGCATATAAGAACAACAACAACTATTTATTTCCTTTAATGTATGTATATTCATTTGTTTATTTTTTTCTTATTTTTTGGATTCAATTTGATCATCCTTTACAATTTAGAGTTTAATTTAAAAGAATTATAAACATGAAATATATTAAACTTGAACTTGGATTAGATTATTTTTCTTTGACATGTATATTTTAGAAATCCTTGAACTCAAGTTTTAAAAATATATTGAATGTCATAATTCATATAAATAAATTGAATAAAAATAATTTTTCTATGAATCCAGACAAAATAGACAACCCTTTATTAACACTTTTAAAGTGTAACCATCCTCATTATCCAATTTTTGATGATAAATATTAGGTTTTTTTTTCTAAGTTCTTGTTGATAAAATTTAGATAGCGACTTTTTTTATTTTTACAAAATACCTTGATATTTTATGAGTTTTCATATAGATATAGATGATCTCTATATAAATTTTTTATGTAAATCAATTTAATATACATATCTTATAACAAGTACCTATGTATTAGTTTTAAGTATTTCTTATATTTTAACTTACGAGAATATCTGTTTTTTCATAGAAAAAAAACACAATATATGTCAATCTTTACAACTCTAATAAATATCCAATATTTAAAAAAATATTTTAGAAATAATATTTTGATATAATAGGATTCTTATAATTATAACAACTTTATAATTTTTTTTTGTAAAGTATTTCTCTCCATGGATTTTATATTTATTATAGATTCATTAATCTAATATTATATTAATATTAAAAACAAATAAAATATTTATTAATAATAAATATATATATTTACATTAATATAATAATATCACATACAAAATATAAACATGTAAATCCAACACACAGACTGTACAAAGCTTTAAAGAGGATTTTGTCCACTGACCTAAACTTGAGCTTTCCCTTAAATGAAAACCCAACTTTTGTTTAGACGAACCTCTGAGGTATTCATGGAGATGGCGAGTTTAATCCACACACATCATCTTACTGTTTGAATCAAATAAAGGATGTCCAATGAAAAATTTATTATGAATATTTAGATAGCCTATCTTGAAACCAAATAAGAAAGGATTTAATCTCAAGGTTGAAGAACTAGTAACAACTAATCCGCATGTATCCTAACCATTTAATATTAATATATTAAAAAATTAAAAACATTTAATTTAACACTTGGATTGAATTTCGATCTCTTTTTTATACGATCCCTTTCCAAACTTTTTTTTCTCTATACGGTCAAATTAGCAAGGCGGTAGTGCAAGTAACTATCAAAACAACCGGCAAGGGAATCCTGCATCGAAGGGAGTCGACTTGAGGGTAGAGAGTAGCTGGGAACCATCGATGATAGAAGCTACAAAATAGAATAACACTAGCTGGCGTTGTACGTTTGGCATCATTAGTGAAAACCTCCTCCAGTGCTTTAATGCCGCCAGCATCACCTTGTCACATCAAATATGCCAGTGGTATTTTCAGATCATGCCCACAAGAAGTTTCCAATTTGACGCGTTTTCATGACACTACCATGAAAATGTCCTGGAAAGTATCGATACAGCAGCCCTCCCTCTTGTGCCACTTGCAAACTCCAAGTTGTAGTAGAGGTCTACCACCACAACTGCCTCTGTCTAGACCATCCAGAGCCCCCCAGCTGCAGTTGCTAGACGTAGCTGCTCCTAGTGATTCTGTTGCAACCGCCCCCGGGCCCTCAAGCAAGCAATACCTCGAACGCAAACCACAGGCCACAGGCCAATAGATGGTGCAGCAACTTCATTCAAGATAAAATGTAGTGTTCACCCTTCTATTATTCCTAAAAATTCTTTTTGAGGAAAAAACACGGAAGTCAAACGAAACAATGAAAATAACAATGGAGAAGGCCTAATCGGGGGGGAGCTTGAACAACATGCTTTTCATTATCTAGCTAAAAGAGTTGGTACTAGCAGTAATCTTTATACAACAGACTAGATTACAACAAGAATGTTACAAACAAACTGACATCTGCCCTTTACAATAATCAAAGAAGAGAGTTGTCTTGGTATCAACAAATTCAGCACCTCCCCCTCCGCATCAAAATTAAGTTTCTTCTCCCCTGATCACTCCCACTACCCTCTTAGGAGTTTATAAAGAGGAGTTCACTAACTTCACTCGGTGGAAAAAGAAAATTTGTGGCCGGATTCTTCGAACGAGCGAGGAACCATTAGATGTTACACCTGCGTGGTTCAGCTCGACTATTTTTGTTGATATTTACATTCCTTCAAATGGGTCTCCTTCTTGGTGATGTACCAGGTGTTTGAACTTTTAATAAGGTGGTATCAAAGAAAAGATCGTGAGTATATGTAGTTTGTCTTATTGGATGTAATAAGGGGTCGCTTAAATGGTAGCTGCTTTGCCCTACCATAGCATAGGGTGAGTGAGGAGAAAGATAATTCCTGTATGCAGACCCATGTTGTCGCAGTGGGCTAGAACAAGGAGATACAGGCATAGATGTGATCATTCCGCCATCATCCCTGCACACAACAAAATTGAAGTTAATTTAAAACTCAGGAATGATTATTAAGCATGAGCGGAAATATATATATGAATGGCACAGTGCCATTTACCTTGGATTTTTCAATGCTCTGGTATTACTATTAACCCCTGGCTTCATTGCAAAATCTCCATCCCAAGAATGGGCACTTGTTCGGTTGGAGTGCAGATCTAAGACTGGCTGCTCAGATGATATAATAATTAAGCACTTAGATAGTGTGCAACTTTAGGTTGAAAAGAAAAGGACTATGAGCGCTAATGCTAAAGTTCTAAAGGATATAGCAGCAGTGAAAACTTTGCAACAAGTCTCTTTCACATACACAAACTCTATAAATCTTTAGTAACAATAATATAGGGGTCTCCAATTGCCAAATGATATGTAGTAAACGTGATAGATTCAATCTCGTATTGCATTTGAACCAACAAAAACTTTCTTGGACAATTCTTTTACAGCACAAAAGCTTTTGGTGAAGGAGATTGAAAAGCCTGGTGAAATACCACGTAGCTGTTTAGCATGTACACTTTTCACTAAATAAACACTGCTTTACTGTGAATTCCACGAGCATGTCACAAATTCCTTCTAATAATCATGTTCCGTAAATCATCTATCCCCTTGTTATATATTAAATTAAAGCTCAGCTCATTTGGAAGGAGCAGACACATATATAAAATATGAGGTTACTACGCATCTAAGAGGCATACCGGTGTGCGGCTTCCATCAAAAGTTCTGGGAAAGGCATCCCTAGTAATGTTGATGTTCGCAACTCTTGTTGTTGCTTGGTCCCGAATAAATGGGTGGTCCAACAACTGAAAGGCTGTCGGCCGTGCTGATGGATCTCGTTGCAGGCATAACTTTATAAAACTTTTTGCATCATTGGAAAGATGATCAGGTATATCTGGCATATCTTTGCTGTTTCCAATTTTAAATATTGCAGCAACCTGTTAAATTCAAAAAGATAAAACAATCTTGATAAGGGGCACTTTAAAACTGGAAATGGCAGAGCAATAGCCACAACACAATTTCTTCTATTTAAGTTCTAAATTTTCAGAGGCGCACCCCTTCATACTGACTCCATGGTGGTTTTGATGTTGCCATTTCAAGAAGTGTGCATCCCAAGCTCCATATATCTACTTCAAAACTGTAGCCATTTGTATTCATCACCACCTGAAATAAGAGTATCCAGAAAAACAGTAACATTAATTGAAGAGAAAAAAACAAAAAGAACAAGAAGAATGAAAGGCTAAAAATGGACTGAAAGATTGGATTTGGGCAAGGCAAAGTACAAGGAAAGGTATTTTTTTTTCTGAGAGATAGAGAGAGAGGCTACCTCAGGCGCCATCCAGTAAGGACTTCCCCTTGA